GAAACCCGATTTCTTCGACCAAGGCAAATTTAGCCTCCAAGAGGCGGAGCAGCTTTTCTCCACGTTTCGTGGGACCCTTAACGCCTACTTGTGGGGAGGCATCGCACTCAGACACGAAACCCTCGCGGCTACGCGCTACGCCTCTCCCCTCCTCACTGCGGCTATCCTCGCAGTAACCGCCTTACACGCCCAGGACGAAGGCCGTGCCTTTGACACGTGCTATCCCATCTTCCTCGAGCTAGCGAGCCAAGCAGTCTTTGACCGATATCACACGTTGGACGATGTCCGAGGCCTCTGTGTGGGGGCGTTCTTCCTGTCGGACTTGAGCTGGAAGCTGAGTGGCCTGGCCGTTCGGATAGCCACCGAGCTGAACCTCCATCAGTTCTGCGCCAAAGCGCTCAACAAGGGGTCATCAGAGTATGTTGAGCATGCAAGGCTATGGTACTTCTTGTATGTATGCGACCACCACTTCAGCATCGCCTATGGAAGGCCGCCAGTCATCAACGAGGACGCCAGCATCGTCAACCATGAGGACTTTTTGAAGCTGCCGGGCATCACGCAGGCAGATCATCGTCTACACAGTCAGGTTGGTGTCTTTATCATTTTGAGTCGCGTTTTCCATACGTTTGGCCCGGACAGGTCAAGACAAGTTGGCAGAGACGAGTTCGTCCAGCTGAAAAAGTTTGATGATGAACTTTGCTTCTGGAAGACTAAATGGGAAACTCGCCTAGGTATGTCCCCCTGGCCTCTTTTGGAAAAGCAATTACTGACCATCTCCAAGAAGCGGATAAGTTCATCTCAAAGTATCCCGCCAAGGGCGTCATACTTCACTATCATTTCGCTCGTCTCCTATTGTACTCCGTCTGCTTACGCGGCCTGAACGCCTCGAACCCATCAGACCAGTATGCCGTCTGCGACGAGCGCCGCAGCTTCATTAACATCGCCATCACGAGTGCGTCGGCCGCCCTGGAGCTGATTTTAACAGACACGGACATGCGCCGAGCAGTCATCGGCGTACCCTTGTACCTGTTGACCACCATCGCGTACGCCGCCATGTTCCTCATGAAGGTGTACATGCAATGGAAACCAGCCAAGGTGGACATACGTTACGACAGCGTCGTCGACCTTATTGAACGGGTCGTCGTCTTGTTGAAGGAGCAAAGCCGTTGTACCCGCCATGTGGCCCACTACATTGGTCACGGCCTCAACAACATGCTGCAGAAATTCAAGGAGCGAGGTCCGCAGGAGCAATATTACATCGCGAGCGGGCAACAGCCGGGTGCTGTCGGAACCGCTATGCCAGGCCAGCCTGTGCCTCAATGGCCAGAGCAGATGGAGCCGACTGACTGGGAAGGAATTTTCAACGGGGGTATAATGAATTTCGGCATGCCGGAGCAGTATCAACAGTACGGGCTACTGAGCGACCTGAATTCGGGATTCTAAATGTCGTCATCAATAATAATGAAATCACGATATCCATCAAAAACACCCACTTACACCTCGCTTTTTGGCGTTTCGCATGCAAACATGCCTTCTCGTGATGCCTTGTCCCACGCGATTGACCGCGAGCGGGCAGAAGTCCGCGCGCTGAATGCCTCGGACTAAACACCGCACCATACCCAAACACGGCATTTGTACTGCCGGAACAAAGGCCGCGCTGTCTTGGCCCCCTCACTCGGTGGATATAGAACACGCGCTGGTGTCACCAACAGCCCAATCACGCCTCCCCGGCCCCAGCATCCACGATCAGGCAGACTAATCCTGCCAAACGCCAGACTATTCGCCCACACCAGGTCCGGAATGGGTTCGCTTCACGTTCGCTTCTGGTTCTAACGAGGGTCCACGAACGCCTCCCAGGCTCCTCCCCCAACAGTCTACCCCGTGGGGGAATAGGGACGTGTGCCCGGAATACCCCGGGTCCCGCCAGTCGCAAGCACAAGACACACGCCAGACACGACTCGTGTTTTTGACGTTATATATCAGACGTCTCGTTGAGAAGATCTTTTGCCACAGTTCAGCTGAAAGGGCCAGGCAAAGGTTTCATCGGTCTTTTTTCGAACCTCTTTTCCCATCCTACCGGGATTTTTGGTCGACCAACAACAAACTGCATTCTACCAGCGCATTGAACAGACGGCGACCCCTGTTTTGCGCTCCACTTTCCCTCCTTTCCGCAAGGCGGTCTGTCTGCCTGTTCGAAGAGGGAGAAACCTTCACCTGTCGCGTCTTCTTTTTCTCTTCCCGCGGCTCAATTGATACGATAACGACGACGACGAAAGGCACGCCGCGTTGGACGGAGAGAAGCAGCGACAATGAGCGAGGAGCACGATCGGAAGCAATCCGTCGAGATGAAGGAAGACAAGAACGCTGTCACCGTCGACGCGGACGGCGAGCTTGCGGAGGCGCTGAGGAACTACGTCCCCGGCACCCAGGAGGAGAAGGCTTTGGTCCGCAAGATTGACTTCTACCTGATGCCGATTCTCTGGATTGTAAGATTATTCTTTTTCTCTGGAAGGGATTGGTCTTTCCCCGGGTATTTTGCTGACTTGTAATGTTAGATGTATATCTTGAATTACGTCGACCGCACAAACATCGTAAGTTTTTAGCTATCTCTCCCTTGGGTGAAAAGTCACCGGCTGGCATCGAGTATCGCATGGACCACCGCACCGATGTGGCGAGTCAGCCACTCATGGCGTCTTCCATGTCGAATGTCAACTTCAGGAGATCTACTTGATCGATCTGCCAGACAACTTGAGCCTCTGGGGAATTCTTTCAAATCATGAAGGACACAATGCTGACCCCTATTGATAGGGAAACGCCAAAATCGCAGGCATGCAAAAGGACCTTAGCCTGACCGACGATGGCTACGCCTGGGTTCTATCGATCTTCTTCTTCGGCTACCTCATCTGCGAGGTACCTTCAAACATGATCCTCTCCCGCAGTCGGCCTTCTCTCTTCCTGCCGGGAATCATGCTCGTCTGGGGCGCGCTCTCAGCTCTCATGTCGGTCTCAAAAAGCTACGGCGCTCTCCTCGGCTTCCGGTTCGTCTTGGGCTGCATTGAATCTGGCTTCTTCCCGGGTGTCCTGTACCTGCTTAGCTGCTGGTACACAAAGGCTGAGCTGGGCAAACGATTTGCCATCTTCTACACTGCCGCAGTTCTATCTGGAGGTACGCAGCCCCGATCACACCCAATATAGATCTTCTCGCTAACCCTTCCCAGCTTTCGGCGGACTCCTCGCCGGCGCAATCACCGCAAACCTCCACGACGCGCACGGCATCGCAGGCTGGCGCTGGCTCTTCATCGTCGAGGGCGTAGCCACCGTCGGCGTCGCCCTCTTCGCCTTCTTCATCCTCCTCGACTACCCCGCCACCGCGAAGCAGCTCACCCCCGCCCAGCGCCAGCTCGCCTCGATCCGCATCATCGCCGACGGCATCTCCTCCGGCGCGCAGAGCACGCAGCGCCTCACGCACTGGCAGGCCTTCGTCGCCGCCGTCTCGGATCCGCGCACCTGGATGTTCCTCGTCCTCTTCATGCTCGACGTCGGCGCCGGCACCATCTCCTACTTCATCCCCACTATCACCCTCACCCTCGGCTACGACACCGTCACCGCGCAGTACATGACAGTGCCCATCTACGCCGTCGCCTCCGTCTGCCTCAACATCGTCGCATGGTCGTCCGACCGCCACGTCGAGCGCCGCTGGCACGTCGCCGTCCCGCTCGGCGTCGGCTTCGCGTGCGCCGTCGTCTGCGCCGCCGTGCAGACCCCCGTCGTTCGCTACGTCATGATCTGCTTCGTCGCCGCGGGCATCTGGTCCGCCCTGCCCCTCGTGCTGTCCTGGACCAGCGGCACCATCAGCCTGCCCGCCGAGAAGCGCGCCATCGTGCTCGCGCTTGTCAACGCGTTCGGCAACTTCTCGAGCGTGTACGGCAGCCGCATCTGGCCGAGCAAGGACTCGCCGGCGTACCACGTCGGCTTCGGCGTCACGGCTGCGTTCCTTGGTGCGGGTATGATTATTGCCATTTTGATCCCGATTATGATTAAGATGGTCAACTGGAAGGGCACCAAGGCGGAGAGGGAGCTTGCTGTTGCGACGGAGGTGGAGCGGGATTAAAGAGGAAGGAGGGAAGATACCTGGTGTGTTATTTGTTTGGTTTTACGACTAGGATACCTTTTGAGGCTATGAGCCTATGACGTTTAATGAGTAGCTTTGTGCGCTTTGCCCAATCACTCGTCTAATAAATGGTGTGAGGTGGTGCAGCTTGCCTTGATGAAACATATTTGTTTGCCACAGAAACTCATAAGACGATTCAACTGCCAACTACCACGGCCACGGCAACAAGCTGTTTCACTGCTGACTGACACATGATAATGAGTAACACATGGTGTAGAAACACAGCGTTTTATTTACGGAAATTGACAAGATTATTATTAGCCAACACGGGTCCACCGCCGACTAGTATCTGCTAATGGACTTCCTCTCAAAACCACATGGTAAAAAACCAGTCAAACACGTAATATTATTTCCTGGACCGTCCCGTTTGCTTCAGTCCCTCTCCGCACACTTCCGACATGCCGCCAGCGGTAAAGACTCACTCCAACATCGTTTAGTAGACGCACTTGCAGTCATATCCTTCAGGAGCTACATTCCAGACAATTGTTAGTACTTGCTCCGAGCTTGGTTGCGGAGAATCAGGATGTCAAGGAGGGTGAGGGTGTTACATACGCCAAGGGAGCGTCTCGCCCGCTGAATTCTTCCAGGGGAGAGACTGGATGGGAACGGCGGCACGGCGGCAACAGTTGACTAGTATTCTGATTAACGTCAGCCCTTCGCCTCAGGGTCCGATGGTAACGGATCAGACGCTTTGGGGACTACGATATTGATTTACTTACATTCAGGGTGCCCCGTGTAGACATCGGGCACGCTGGCGTCTGTATTCCAAACCTTATGTCAGCGCTTGCCTCTCGGGGGCTCACTGCGGAGATGGGATACGGGTGTTTGACTAACCCTCGTTGTCCCTTTTAAGGGAAACGACCTTGGGGGTCACCGGGGCCACGGGAGCGGCGGGAGCGACCGGGGCGACGGTCTCAGCGGCGCGAGCCGCTTTGGTGATATATACAGTCTCTTTCACGACGACGGCGGCGGCGGGAGTCTCAGCGGCTTGAGCCACTTTGGTGATATATACAGTCTCCTTCTCGACGACGGGGAGCTGAGGTCGATCAGGCTCCCCGAGTCCGCTCTCGATCGCAGGCGGAGCAGGGCTGTATTGGTCCGGGCTATATTGTTGACGGTATGGCCCTCTCTGTTGTGGATTCTTCTTGGCGGCGAGGTTAGGAAAAAGGAAATCAAAGAAGCCCTGGAGCTTGACCTCATCCTCCTCAGCCCAGTCACTGGTGCCGTTTACATCCCGCTCGTACAGGAAATTCGGCTTGGCAGCAGGGGCCGTGGCGGTCGCGTCATGGGGAACGCGGGCAACGACGCCAACCGTGGCGACGGCCACTGCCATGAGAACGGAAGTCTTCATCGTAAGGAATGGGAATGATCTGGGAAGGTGGAGAGAATGGCAAACGGGAAATGCAGCTGAGAGGTGGTGGTTGGCTGTAGAGCAGGCGACATCTGGGACCAGAAGGGGGAGATTCATGTCCTTTTCATAGTTCACGGGAGCATCCGCCAACATCCAAGGCAATATACTTCACTGCTTCAGCCACAAACACATGGACGAATGTCACGATCCATATCGTGTTATTGGAGGAACCTCGCGATCCTCTCAAGTCCCGGAGAAGATGCTGCACGTCGTGAAGGCAAAGCAGCCACGCCTCCGGCACTTTGTTTAAGCTTGGCGGCACATGTTTTGGCCATTCCCGAGGCGGAGGGATGCTTGGGAAAAGGCTCACTTTTCTCGGCTTACCCTGTGAGACGAGGCTGGCGATCAAGCTTTTGGTGTGCGTCTTATTGATGCCAATCACACCTTTGGGTTCAATAAATGCCCAAGAGAGATTTCCAGCGCGACCTAGGCCAATTCGTCAATGAGGTGCTGAAGAATCTGGAAGGGCCTCTTCGAGTCCTACTTTACTTCAACTTCGCATCTTCAATTTATTGCCATTTGCTTTGCAAGGTTGGCCATGTGGCGTGCATGATATGAACATGCAGCCTGATGCCCGCCTAAAGTGAGGTCTGGCCAATTCTGGACTCTTGTACTGATATTCTAGACCAACATGTCCAAGGCGGTGGTAGGAGACAGGATGGCATTTTGCTAACTTTGCCTGAGAGAATTTCATGAACTTCCAAAGTACCCAGTGCCCGGTTGAGCCGAGATTTCCCAGCCAATCAATAGAGCCAAACAAGCCGGAGTTTCATGTGAGTCCCAAATTGCAAGAGATGGCGCGAGTTTTCAATTGGACCTCGGGGTCTCAATATCACATTACTGGCAAGATGAGGGGTGGGATTATGATGTTTGCTATGAACAGTCATGGGTGCATCATGCATGGTTCACAGTATTTGGTTTGCTAACATACCTAGGTTAAGGGAAACCATCATTTTGGCCAGGAGAGCATCGTAGCTAGGGCCCTTGTAGCCCGGAGATGCTATTTAGGGCAGTGGAGTTTTGAATCAAGTATACTCGCCATGGTACAAACATCTAATCAAACGGCATCGGTGAATCTTCATCGCCAAATGACCAAATGGGTGTTTGATTCTCGCAGATTTTGGTTCTAATTGAGAGGGTTACATGACTGGATGATTTCAGTGTGTCTCTCGGCTGGTGCATGTATTGTTACTATTCACGGAAAAGCAATCTGCACTTGCAAACAACAAGTGACACGCATGAGGAATGACTGTTGACAGAGCACAGTTCATGAGCTGACGGTGGGAAATACTTATTCCCGATGTCCAATATAAATATGTAGGTAAGTTGGTAGATCTGCCCGTTGCATAGCCATGGGCACACATGGTCTTGATCACGGGATTTTCAGGCCTCACCGTCGACATTCAACCCTCAGGGACGTGCAATCTGCCAGCTTCACCGAAAACCGTGAACTTAACACTAGAGGCAAAAGGCTTCTCAGTTATTCGGCGACAGCCAGACCATCAATATGGAACCAGAAGATGCCCGAAAGCAGCTCGCCAAATATTGCGTCTTGCTTGAAGCTCTCCGGATCCTCATGGACGACGATTACAACCAGACTGTTCAGAACCGGCGCATTCCTCCAGGACCGCTGGGGCTACCGCGGCCCACCCCGGACAAGAGGAACGGCATCCCCGAGACCTTCAAGGAGTTTCTCAACGCACTAGCAGAGGTTTGTAGCTTTCGAATCGGACCTGATATGGTTACTGCCATCATTGTAGAGGAGAGACCGTCAGCAGAGTATGTGTTCCATGTCACACGTAACAGTTCAGCTTCGGGAGATGATGAAAGTGCAGACAGAGATGGGCTCTTAGGCTTTTTGAAGCAAATTCTGGAACAGATACGCGGCATTCAGGAGACAGATGAGCGTGTGTTTCTGCAATCCGAAGCATACAAGCAACTGTTGTGTACCGTCATTGGAGACAATATCGTCAAGATCAAGTATTACCGGAAGAAGCTGGGTAAGGCCGTGAAGGAGTTCATGGAAAGGTTCAAGGACTTCATACTGGACAAAGACCTCAACGAGACACTCGAAAACATTCTCATCGGTATCGAGGCTTCAAAGACAAAGTCAGGCACTGGTAAGAGTTGTCAAAAGCTTCAGTAAATCTGCGATTTCCCACTAAACGTTTGCTGCAGATCGTCAAGAGTACCGCGACCTTATTCTGAACTGCGGAGTTCTCATTAGGCACGAGAATACGCTCTTCAAATATTTGCGCGATGCAAATGTTGAGATACCCGACTGCTGGGGTGCCATTTTTCACTACGCAGAAAGACTTCAGTCCTATCGTACCAGTGTCCGGGCCTTCTTCCAAGCCAGGAACGAGTACGATGAATTGTTTGCTAACCCTGTGATTAACTTCGTCCCACCCGAAACTGCAAGGCAAGTACCAGTCGACTGGACTCTCCAAGATCTCACCAACTACTTCAACAGTGGCGAATACCGCAAGGATCTCTGGAGCTCAGAAGACATTAGGAAAGTGCACGCTGAGATTCAAAGGCTCTTGAGCGAGTCGCGTGAGGGGAACGAACTCGGATTCCACCGCATCGTCCATGCGGAGGTCGCCCTAACACATTGGTTCTACAGCGAGCGGCCCGGGAGCGGTATTTTCTCTGAGACCTCAAACACCAGCAAATCCTTCGGCGACTACCACTATGTTGCGACGAGCAAGCCATGCTGCCTCATGTGCAAGCAATTCTGTGATTTGTACGTTGCTGGCATAAGATGCCGGCCGTTTCACACTAGGATTTACGCAAGGTGGACTCTTCCAGACTTTCAAGATTGTCATACGAAGGAGGCCGAAGAGGAGCTACTGGGGATATACATATCAATGGCTCATAAGTTCGAGGAAAATTGCTCTCTCATCCTGGCCAAATGTAAGCCCGAGTTCGCCAGAAGTTCGTTTGACGAAGAGGAGCATTTCGACTACGACGATTTCCGTAGGCGCACATCTCTCGAGGATTGAAATGTGTATTGATGTCCTAGGACATAGTCGAGAAAGGAAAAACATGGTATTGAAGTAGTCTCAGTATAGCGATAACCACGGAATAGAAGAACATGCGTTGTTAAGACTTTTATGTCTCCGTTAAACAATTCGGACATTGTTGAGGCGCAATATAAACTCGCCAGGACTTCATTTTGAATACCATTTAAAATTCATTGATTCGATAAAACTCCAAATTATTTTTCAATACAATCGAGTCCTTCTGGCGCCTGCGTTGTACCGAGTATGCGTAATTATGTTGATTAGTCTAGCGATACTATCAATTTGTTTAGTTGACTCTAAACTCCGGCTGCGCGTTGACAGATGTGCCCACGTTGCTAACATCATTCATCTCCATTACAAAGTTTTTGCTGCCTTTAGTCTGTTCTCCTTCGCTCGCTGTGTAAGCTCAATCTTCGAAGCGTAAAGATCAAAAATATGCGGCAGGCCGGGGTAGACGTGCAACTCGACCTGAACGTTCGCTGACACAAGTCTGCTCGCGTACGTCACTGTCTCTGCGCAGAACAAATCCAGCCCCCCGACGTCGATGTATGTGTTTGGAAGGCCTTCTAGATTCGTTGCTCTTGCGGGAGCAGCGTATTCTGGCACATCCGCCTCCCCTGCCTTCCCTCCCAGGTATGCATTCCACCCAAGTTGGTTCTGCAGGTTCGTCCACGTGAGAAACTGACACAGCTCATTGTCCTTCTCCACCTTCGTCCTATCGTCCAGCATCGGATATATGAGCATCTGTTTCGCAAGAGGAGGCGATAGACCTCGGTCGCGCGCCATCAAAGCCGCTCCTGCCGCGAGTCCACCACCAGCGCTGAGCGCATAAAATCCCAGCCGCTTCGAGTCGATGTTGAGCTTCTCGCTGCTCTCACTGAGCCACTTCAAGGTCGCGTAGCAATCTTCCGCGGGAGTAGGGTGCGGAAACTCGGGTGCCAGGCGGTACTCAACCGCAAACATCTGAACACCGGTCTCTAGGGCACACGTCGCAGCAAGGAGGCGACTGTATGGATCGATGTCGCCAGCTACCAGGCCGCCTCCGTGAACATAGATGAACGCTGGGTGCTTGACGGTCGAGTCCACGTCCTTGTGCGCAAACTGGTACACAACAATCTGCTCTCCATCGAACGAGGTGATCTGGTGCTGCGTCTCGACGATCTCATCGGGTATCGGTCCCTTCAATAACGAGGCCAAGCCTACGTTGGTTCTCGCGCGCAGCTGGAGAGCTGTTCTGGCTTGCCCTGGAGGTCTGATGGCAAGCACCGGGCCAGCGGCCTTCCAGAATTCCTTGTCGAAGCTCAATCCCGGCATCTTCGCAGCTTGATGAGACGTCAGATGCTAGCTTGGGGTGGTGGCATCAAAGACCGATGGCAGCTTCGGAGGACCGTTCGGACGAGGCAGCTATACAATAACCGGGGATCGCCTGGTACTTGAGGAAAAGAAGTTTCAAGTCCTGGAAACTAGGCCGGGAACGCGGGAATTATATCATTCGGCATAGCGCACTTCTTCCATCAGCTCAGCCACTCGTGCTGGACCCCGCGTGCAGAAACCATGACAACCAAAGTCGCGGCAACTTCGGACGACCAGATGTCCCATGTTTCAAATGACCGCGGGCCGCTGTGACGAAGTCTGTCCGAGCGGCTTCACGGCATCATAATCAATCTGTGACGACTGAAAAGCAAAGTTTTCCGTCTTTCTGCGCTCAGGCGAATTCATCCGTGCCCGCCGACCTCAGGCCAGGAACGAACCACGCCAGTCGGAGATGCGCGGGAACGGCGATGCTTGGCTGACTGGGTCGTGATCCTGCCACGTGCGATTGAGTTTGGCTATGCAGGCCGGACACATGAGCTTGTGCAGTGCTTGCGTGTCTAGCTGGCTTGGCTAGATTGTAATGCGTAGTGGAATAAGATGCATTAGAATGCTCATTTGGGACATATGACCTGGATCGTGTCACCACGAACGTTTCCCGCGGCTCTAGTGGTGATTATTTGTGAAAAAGCAACATATTTGAGTCACACGGTCAGCTCTAGTGAAGGCTGCTATCGACTCGGCTAATGAAGGATATGCAATCGGTCCATGCGCCGTGACGTGTTTCCGGATGTAGTTGGAAATCCGAATGCGAAGGATCCGAAAGGAATCGGGATGGTGGGGACGGCTACTTGTCACAGCGATAAAGTATTGGAGTAAGCGGGGACTTGGCACGCATGAGACGGAAGAACTTGAGGTTGAGGATAGGAGATAATTCGTAACCATTTTGTCTATACTGTCCGAAACTCCGAATAGCTATGGAATGTAACTACGAAAGTTTGCTCAGTCAAAGACATCAATAGCATACCGCTCGTTGCGGATATTGTTGAACCACTCTTCCGCCTCCTCCTCAGTCATCGGTTTCCCGTCGTCCTTCTCGCTCTTCTCATGCGCAGCCTTCAGCACAATATCCCTCACGCCCTCAGCGACGTGATTAGAGCCACAGACATAAACTCGAGCACCTTGATCCCAAAGGCTGTAGAGCATCTCCCTCTCCTTCCAAATGCGGTGCTGAACATACTTGCATCCGTCCGAGGCCTCGGGCTTGCGGCTGTATGCCCGGTACACCGTGAGTACTCCTGCAGCCTCCCATCTGTCAAACTCTTCGCGATATAAGTCGTCCGCGGCCGGGTCGCGGCACCCGAAGAAGAGAATAGCGGGCGCTAAGGGCAGTCCGTTGCCAATGAGGATTGCACGCTCCTGAAAGAAGGCACGGAAGGGTGCCAGACCAGTCCCGGCAGCGACACAGAGGAGGGGCGTCTTGTTCATGTTCGGGGGCAGCTTGAAGCCTCCTTGTGCTGGGCGGACAGCAATCTGCACCTTATCGCCTGCCGTCAAGGATGAGAGGTAGGATGAAGTTACGCCGATGTGTCTGCCTTGACCTGAAAGTGCGGGCTCGTCCAAGACACCATATGTGAGCGTGGCGACACCAGGGTCTGCCAGTGGTGACGATGATATCGAGCTTCGAGTACCTTGTGATTAGCATTGTGCCCTGAAAGAAGGTGACAAATTGTGTATACTCACTATTGACGGACCCGCATAGGCGGCAGCATGAGAAGAAAGTGGTTGAAGGGAATCGTCAACGCGGGAAAGCGCTCCGCGATATCAAGCACAGACAATCGCTTGGTCTTGATTTCAGAGTCGTAGCTATCGCTAGCGAGGTGCTGAAGCTCGCTGCGAACCTTGTCATCCTTGGCCAGCTGCGCTAGCCCCGAGATGTTCCTCTTGGTTGCAGTTTGACACAGCTCAACGTATGAGCTGAGAACGTCCGAGACCGGAATGCTGTTGTTGATGGGCAGCGTAGTTGGGCCCGAAGCCTGAATGATGACGTGCGAGTCCCAGGTCAGATGGAAGCGGCGCATTACTCTGGCGACTGTATCCTTTGGGTTGTGCGGGAGCACAGCCATGTAATCACCTGCCGAGTAGCGCATGTTTGTTGGTAACTGAATCTCCATATGCCTCTTGACAGGACCAACATGTCCCTGGACAAGGGGGCGGGAGTCCAGGACGAGTGCGTCTCTAACATCCTGGCGAAGAGTCGATGTTCGGGGCGTTGAGAAGGAGACCGAAATGCCCGCCTCAGAGAGGTTGCTGTCACCTGCCTGAGTCTGGCCACCAAAGCGCTTCACCAGGGCGGGCCACAGCATGTCGTCTTCCCATGCCTCAAAGTCGGAAAACATGTCGCGGTCCTTAGCATCAGTCGTCTCGAGAGGAACTAGCTGAGTTGCACCACGCTCAGCTAGCGATGAGTCGACGAGCTTGGGAATGCGCTGATGTGTTTTCACCCAATCAGCATGTCCTAGAGACTGTCAGCGAATGACTTTGCGTGTTAACTAGTAGGAAAGACTCACCACAACCGTAAACGGCATATGAAACGTTCTCAAGCTCTTTGCCCTTCAGGTTGGTCAACCAGTCAACAAACAAGGCTGCGTTGTGCGGTGGCTGTCCTTCGTAGGAAGATGTGACGATGACCACGGGACGATCAGTCGGGAGAGCCTCCCGGGCAGTGTCGAGAGAGTCGACTGTGGCACTGAAGCCGTGCGATTGAGCGTCACTGGTAAGTCGTTGAGCCATGAACTCGCACGTTCCCGAGTTTGAACCGTAAAACACAGCCAGATTCCCGCCGTTGGAGGTGCCGTTGCTCTGAGATGGGGTCCTCTCGGCTTGGGTCTTTGCTGCAGCCTTCGCGTTGGCTCCTGTCGCAACGATAGAGCCCGCCAATCTCGCTTCAAGAAGCGCAGGTGTAAGACCTTCTCTCAGAATAGCGCGAATGTAAAAGTCCTTCGGCTTAATGGTGAGCGTCTGGGCGACCTTGAGATCGTAGTTGGGGTTGTGAGCGACAAAGTTGAAGTTTTGGAACAGAACCGCCAGGGCGAGCAGCATCTCTTGCCAAGCAAACGCACGGCCAATGCAACCACGCATGCCTGTGCCAAAGGGGGCCCAACAGTTAGGGAACTCCTTCATCAGACGGTCAAAGTTCTCATCCAGCATCCTCTCTGGTTTGAACTCGTCGGCATCATCACCGTAGACTGCCGGGTCAAAATGTGACTTGGCCAGGTTCGCAACGATCATCTCACCGGTTTTGACAGGGTATTTGCCGCCGATGATCTCATCCTTCATTGCCTCTCTTCCAAAGCCCGGGATAGGAGCGCTGAAGCGGAGAGTTTCTCGAAGTACCTGAGTTGAGGTTAGTACTGATGCTAGGAAGGAGGACGTTGAACGACTCACAGCAGACAAATATTTCAGCTTGCTCACATGTTCCAGATGAATAGGACCGTCTCCGACGACACTGTCAACCTCTTGCTGAACCTTACGGTACTCCTCCGGACGCTTGATCATCCAATACATGGTGAAGGCGAATGTCGCTGCAGTGGTCTCGTGGCCGGCAACGAGAAAAGTGATCAAGTTGTCGATGATGCTATCATCAGTCATCTTCCGGCCAGTGACAG